TCCCTCTCACTCCCACTACATCTCTGTCACAGTAAGGATAAGCACAGATCAATTCTGGGCCCGGAATGCCTCTCAAGGTCTGTCACCCGCTAATCTTTCCTCAGTCCCCTACAAGGAGTGCAGAGTCACACAATCGGGTAACCCCAAAATGTGAGCACTAATGCCCCAATCCCTTCAAACTAGCTGGTCACCAACTCTTGGAGCCCCGGCTTCCGGACCCTGAGCTGCCCGCTCAGAAGGCACTTTATTCTTCTCACAGAAGGAGCCCTATCTGTGTTGCAGGGAGCACTCGGTGGGGACCGTCCCCCTCTGACAGCCAGGACTGGGGCTTGTGGGGAATTTGCAGGCACACAGCCGGGCTGGGACAGGGCCGGGATGCAGCCGGGGATGATGTCCCTGTGGTTCTGGCTCAAGAACGGGGGGACATGGTGGAGACCGGAGACCCCAGAGAGGCCTTAAATTCCTCATCCCTGCCCCAAGGCTAGGGCTGGGCAGCTATTACCTTCCCAGCTGAGGCAGCCACTCGGCCATTACAACAGGTCCAGGTGGGCTCTGGCCTCTCCCAGCCTCCTCCCTGGAGCCCCCAGGAGGCCTGGCCTGTGTGGGCCACGGGGTGGGACGGTGCTGAGTTCAGGCCCCCCGGGCTGCTCACATCTTGGTCAGGCGCAGCACGTTGAGTCGCACGGGTAGGAAGGTGGCGCCGGTGGCATAGGCAAGCTCCCGCAGAACACCTTCCCACTTCTTCTCCTCCTCGTTGTATCTGCAGGCGGGGCAGGGACAAGGAGCTTGGTCAGCCGAGTTCAGAGGGGGACCCAGCAGGAAGGGGTGGCTGGGTGACCTAGGCCCACCCCTGAGGAGTCCCCATCCCACCCTACCCCAGCCCTGGAGAATGGTCCACTCCTAGAGGTTTCCCATGTTCTGGGAAAGGTCCCCACAAGACTCACCCCCGGAGAACATCCACCCCACACTCCAGGAAGGGCACCTTCCTCCAAGGAGGTCTACATCTTCCCTTGAGATGTAGCATTTCCCTCCTCTGCCCTCCAAGTCGCCCCAACTCCCACTCTCCCAGCAGCAATGCCCCCTGCAGGCTGCCGGCAGCAGTGGGAGAACTAAAGGATCAGAAGGTGCCCCAGGTGGCCGGGACCCCTCCCCCCCATCCCCAGGAAGGACCAGCCATGGAAAGCAATGGCTCTGCGAAACTGGGGTCCGGCAAATCTCAATCCTGGCCCCAGCTCTCCCCCCAGAGCCTCCAGGAGGGAGGGGAGAGGAAAGGGCCCCTGTTTCCGTGGGTCTGTGCCCTAAACTTGGGGTCAGCTCCCGGCTGTGACACTGTTGGGGCCCCACAGTGGGGCATGGTGTCATGTGTGCAAACCCAGACTTTCCCAGCTGTGGCGGGCTGGCACGGCCATGCACACTCAGCCCCACACTGGGCGCCTTATGTGCCGCGCCAGCTCAGCCAGGTTCGGTGAGCCCGAGTGGGGGCGGTGAAGGATGAAGAAAAGACAGACAAGAGAAGAAAGCTGGGTCTCGGCGGGATGCCGCCCTCTCTGATGGAGAGACAGCGCCACGGACTACAAGCCGGGTCTTTATTTTATAGCAGATTCCACGCGGCAAAGTAAGGGCGTGGTCAAGATGTTTACAACAGTCTCGTGGGTTTCGATCCTACTCAAGTACAGGCACCTGAACTCTGTCAAGCCCACATCACTCAGACACGTGGGGCCACGTGTTCCGACCATAGGTTCACGCTCACAACTACAGCTGTTGGCTATCATTGTGCTGGGAGGGCCCTGCCCTCCAAGCTGGGACTTGCATGTGGCCACGAGAGGACTGTGCCCTCTCATTAGTCCGAGGCTTGAACCTGTCCAAACACTGTAGCCCAGTGGTTCTGAACCTTTTGGCCCTTTAAATACAGTTCCTCATGTTGTGACCCAACCATAAAATTATTTTCCTTGCTACTTCATAACTGTAATGTTGCTACTGTTGTGAATCGTCATGTAAATATCTGATATGCAGGATGGTCTTAGGCGGTCCCTGTGAAAGGGTCATTCAACCGCCAAAGGGGTCGCGACCCACAGGTTGTCCACACCCAACCAAACTGGAGAGAACCGGGGCTGAACGGGGTCTACTGTTCCTTCCCCCCAGGGCTCTCAGAAGAGGCATCAGCTCTGCCCCCAAAGAGCCTGCCAGGGGCCGCGGTGCCCGGCCGCGAGGCTGTGAGCCGTCAGCCTTGCTCATGATGGCCCTCACCTCCCCGGGGCCAGGCTCACCTCCAGATGTCGTTGAGCTCTGTGGGGACCAGCTCCCCAGATTCAGTCTCCAGAGTGGCAAAGCCACCGATGGCATAGAGGGTGCCCGCTAGGCTGACCAGGCTGAGTGAGCTGCGCTCCTGCGGGAAGGCCTCAAAGGGCGCCCACCTGGTGGGGGGGGGGGGGAGGGGG